TTTGTGCATCACAGTAAATTCATTTCAATATGCATGAAATAGCTTTTCTTAAGTTTATAATTGTGTTGATTCATCTGATTCCATTCTATCTATGTGAACTGCTGTAAGATATTATTGTCAGTTGTGTTTGCCTTATAGTGTTTATTACCTTCTTTGTTCTTATTATTTTGCTGATTTTTGTATTACACTTTGTAAGGAATGATTCTTTGGACGACGTTATCAGGATTGAGATTACGATCCATAAACGACAAACGAATGCAGCACCTCACGCTGTGTTCCCACTTCATCGTGTTGATTCTGAGCCTTTCATATCTAATCGTAGTGTTCATTACTTTACTTATTTTTCTTGTTTTGATGCTTATCATGTTTTGTCTTGAGTCGTGATTGATGTAGCTTTCATGGATGATGGTGACTAGTTATGGAAGTGGATAAAATTCCTTCTTATTTTACTTATTTTTATTTTCCTTGTTTGGTTATCCTATTCAGATAAACAGGAGGGAATGTTGTGGAAAATTTATGTAGTGGAATATATATTCTTACACTTTTATTAAGTCCAGATATTATAATCAGAAGAGGTTGTTTTTACTTTGTATTGACTTAGAGACAAGAAAAGAGAGAGTTGGGATCGTTTAAGAATCTTTAATTTCTATAATTATAAATTCAAACAATGTCCCAGGACTAACTCTCTATGATGGATGCATATGGATTTGAATGTTGAAGTGTGTGTGTGTGTGTGTGTGTGTGTGTGTGTGTGTGTGTGTGTGTGTGTGTGTGTGTGTGTGTGTGTTTGTTCAGAATCTCCAGGCTGAGGCAGGCGGATCTGGGTGTCTGATGTTTAGACTAGGAACCACGAGGGCTTCAGAAGCTCATGACATGAAACGCCATCTTGCCGAGGCTACGTACCGTGTGGAGTCTCCCGTGGTCAGATCAGGAATGTCAGGTCCTCGGACCTCCTTGGTACTGGACTGATGTAACAGTGTTGCAGCACGACAAAACCCGTCTACGCATAGCTCCCTGCAGTAGCGGCAGGTCTCAGCGCATTCAGCTTTTATTGTGAAGGAACCGTCGTCTTGTTGTTCAAACGACAGAATTTCCAGCTTGACAGTTCTCAGCTTAAAAGTAGAAAAATACAGCTGGCCAGACTGTAATCTCCTTTAGCGATGATGATTTGAGAGCTGGTTGAAACTACGTTGAGTCTATGATGTAACTCCTTTGGAGCTGAGATGGAACTCAGATGGAACTGAAGTTAAAATGGCGTTGCTCTGTTTTTATTAACTTAGTTGTTTATAAATCTTAGCAAATCGGAGTGGACAATTTAAGTAAACAGCCCAGATTCTGCCCTGCAACAGACGGAAGCTCTGATTGGATGAGAACAATGTGTCATGCGTTCTTATGTTCTGTGGATCAGTATGTCTGGTGCACAGTCCTGTTTATTCATTAAACACATAAATCATGACATTTTGATTTCACAGATCAGTCACCTGATTATTATTGATAAACATATGTTTTGATTAGCTTTATTACAAATAAAGTTCTTTGATTAATTAATGAAAAGTGTTCTTCTTCCTTCTTCTGTCTCCTTTCCTGGAATGTAAACATTTAGAAACAAGCACCCGACCTTGGCGATTCATGCACACTGTTACTGTGTGAAGGGGCAGCTGTTAAGGGCAGACAATAGGATCTTAATAACGCTACATTTATGTTTATTAATTCTTGATCATTGACTCAATCAACTGAATGTAAATGTATTGCTCTGTGCCTCTTTGATCATGCTCATTCAGACACACACACACACATTTTTGACTTCCCACACAGACACAATCTCTCTATAAATAAACTCTGTGACCGGATGTTCGGGGCATCTTGCCACAGTTATAACTGTTTGACTTGTTGTTCATTGTCTCCTTTTTCACTCCGACTATAGGAAATGGGTTATTGATAAACATATTGATAAAATCCACGACAGTTATGGTTCTAACTTTAAAGTGTCAGCCCTGTGGGGGCCTCAAGCTATTGCCCGCCCTGCTTGCCGGCACACGGCGTCTCGTCGCTCGTTCCAGGCAGTGACACTTAAAACATTTGGTTTGTGACCAGTATGCACCTCTAAAGATCAGTGCCATCCGTTTCTCACATGTAACAAACCACTGATTAACACAATTTTCAGCATAAGTAACCATAGAAGTACATGCAGGTGTATGGAACAGGAAATGACAGAGCGTTGGTTCATTCAACAGCATTTAGATAAACTCATGTTGAGGTTTGAGTTGTTTAAGAAGCCTGAATTCCACTTTTAGAGGATTCAGTCGAGCTATCTGATAACTAAACTTCTCACCGATTCACCAGAATGGATCACGCTGCTGTAAGATACTGATAGGAACCACAGAACACCACACAAGCTCCAAAATGGTGCAGTTAGATTTTTAATGGGAGGACTGGCGTGAATCCTGTTTTTTTTTCCACCTATTTATTCTAAGTAGCGCAGTCGAACCTACAAACCATAGGCGTCATTTTAACCAGGGACGCCGGGGACATGTCCCCGGCAAAATTTGTGATTGGCAGCTGTGTCCCCCCCACTTTCAAAAACGCCTGCTGATGAGGATTTTTGTTTTACCAGCTCAGATCTTATCCAGGGGTCGGCACCCTGTTCCCATCAAAGAACCATTATTACCCGTTTCCCACGGTAATTTTGGACGGACCTTAATAAGCAGTGACTTAAGTGAAGCAGGCAGGTCGCGCTAGAAAATTTCGTTTAAAAAGACGTCATAAATGTGTTCCCCCGTCATTTTTATTACTAAAATATGAAGTAAAAACTCACAATTTAATTTTCATTCATTTGTCATTAATATGTAGTCTACACCCGTGCGTTAAGTGGACCATCTTCCAGTAAACGCACAGCATCCAGTCCACCTCTCCAAATGCGTAAAATGTGCATCAGCCGCTGCGCGCGCGCACCATCAGCTGATCAGCCCAGACAAGAGCAGAGCGACTAGAGAAAGACTAGAGGATAATTGTGTCTGGATGTGGATGGAGATTACATTTTACATCAGCCTGATCATCATTTAAATACGTAAACCATCACCTGTCTTCTAGTCCACGCTATCAGCATTATTTTATATTTTAATTGGTGTGTGTGTGTGTGTGTGTGTGTGTGTGTGTGTGTGTGTGTGTGTGTGTGTGAGTGAGTGAGTGAGTGAGTGAGTGAGTGAGTGAGTGAGTGAGTGAGTGTGTGTGTGTGTGTTTTCCACTTCAAACACTGGTCTAACCAACCAGACCAGCGTGTCCAGTAACACATTAATGTTATAATTAAACAGTTTCACTTCATGTAGGCTAGGAACATTTCACCTGCCGTGGCCCGACCGCTTCTGCTCCACATAAACTTTGTGCGTGATCAAATGTCTCTACGCGTCATGCGGAAGACGGGAACAAGCGCTGTTCAGCCAAAGTTTCATAATTTCATAAAAAGAACATTTTCCAAGTGACACATCCCTCAGAGAGACCAGGTTTCCAGAACGCTTCAGTGGGAGGAAATCATCGCATGCGCGTGGTTCTGCACTGCGCTGCACTGCGAACCCCAGATCTTCAGCTCACTGTCCACCGGGGGCGCTCCGAGCCGCGCTGAACACAGTGTCCAGTATAAAGAGCTCTGATGTTCTGATGGGAATATTTTACCTCCGCGTGTGCGTTAACGATTAAAATGTCAGCTCATCCATGAGCATCCGTGTGCGTCAGGGTAATTTTTTCAAACCAAGCAACATCCTTGAGTACATCTGTCAAAATAAACAGTCAAATGGAAATATATGTAACCTGCCGTTTAACTGTTTTGCCTTCCTGTGAAGATTGTTGCAAAGAGAAACAATTAAACTTGATTAACCCCAGAGCCACGCAGAGAACCATGCAGTGCGCATGCGGGAAGATTCCTCCCACTGAAGCGAGTGTTTTCCAAACCCTGTCTCTCAGAGAGACTTGTCACTTAGAAAATGTTCCCTGATGATGAAACTTTGGCTGAATAGCGCTTGTTCCTGGCTCCAATGTGGCGACACATCCAGGAGCCGTCTGAGGAGAAGCCCAGAATCTCACATCCTCTTCAGCTCATAAAGTGCCTATATGATTACGCACAAGCGTGACCGGTCAACCACCGCAGACCGGGTTGGACCTGTTCAGGTTTACGCAGACAATCTTTACATTTAGAATTGGCATACAGGTGTAAAATTAATGCAGTAAAATATAAAGCATTTTATTTAAATATCCATTTATTATTTTACAAGCACAGAGAGTTGCATCAGATGGATGGAAGAGCCGCATGCGGCTCCAGAGCCGCGGATTGCCGACCCCTGTGCTAGCCTACTTTATTGTCCCCAGCAATTTTTAAACCCCACTCAAGTGTATGGTTATTGTCCCCAGCAATTCTGAAAACAAACTGACGCCCTTGCTACAAACACAAAATACATGTGACCTGACTTTGTGCCCACGTGCTGTTCGTGGAAGGGTACTTGTGTTTTTCATCACGGCGGGAGATCAGAACGTTTTTAATAAGGTGTTGCATTCAGAGAACTTAAAAAACTGACATATCAGAAAGAACCAGAAATGTTTAATCTACCAACTCTGTGGTGTTAACCAACCATTAAGAGAACCATTAACCAACCATTAGGGAGAAAAGACCTCTGACCACAGATTTACTTGAGTTCGAGTCCAAATCCTTCCAGCCAAACATGTTAATCCTGGAATCCCCACTGAAGTCCCAGTGAACCTGAACTTTGCTGTTTTGTTGACACCAGCTGAGCTGGAGTATCTCCTTACATAACCACTCACCTCACGCCTTTGTAGCTAAACTACATAAAGTAGTAAATATGACGATGACAATTTTTACTTGAAAAAAAAATCCTCATTTCAAAAAGCAACAAGCAGACGAGTTCATTGAAACTTGTGCAAACACAAACATCTTTATTTGTAGGATCTCCACTACCTCTGGTGAGCAGATAAGAAAGCCACAAACACATAACTTATCAAAAGTGGGTTTTTTAATCAAACTTGGGTATTTTTGTACAGAACAAGAGAATGTCTAACAAACAACAGAAAAACGGGCGTAATGGGCCGATCGTTCAGGATTTACAGTGAGATCTGTGAACTGAACCAACTGGGAGGGGATGGAGGTGCTGGAACAAACTGGTGCTGGAGGAGGAACGGCAGGAGGACCCAGAAACACAACATGATCACTCTGCTACTAACCAATTTAGTTGCTCACCCTACACACTCGCTTGGTCAAAACAAACTTGGAGGAAACGTTTACTCCATGCCCTCCTGATTCTCCTGGTCTGCTCCAGTTTCCTCACTGGCCTCTTTGCCCTCCTTGCTCCTCTTGCTCTTCTTGTGCTTGTGCCTCCGATGGCTGTCGCCCTCCTCACTGTCGTGCCTCCTTCGACTGCTGCTACTAAAAATAGAAAAACAAAGGATTTTGATCCAAGACCAGCAGAAGGGTAAGGAGGAGACGATAGGAGACAAGCGTGAAGGTCAGGCAGCAGAGACGGGTGAGATCAGAGATCAATACGAAAAACAAAAGAACCACAAACAGGTGGCCTGATGGGAAGTAGAAAGGAGCAGGAGTTAAGTAACTAGTTACTACTGCACTAGTTACCTGCGAGAGGACTTGTGGCGACCCTCCTCCTTTTCTCTGTGACGCCTCTCCCTGTGTCGGTCTTCTTTCTCCCGGCTTGCCCGGTCGCGATGGCGCTCTACGTAACCACGCTCCTGGTATTCACGGTAACGATAGGGCTCCTCTTCACTATGGCAACAAACAGAACAAGAGTTTGTCCTGATTCCTGTCAACAAACCCGTTTAAAGGATAGGAGGTGAACAGTCTGCTGTTTGTGACCTGTTGTAAGCCATAGCTGAAGGGCTGTGCTCTCTGTCTCGCTCCCGCTCATGTGTCCTTTCTCTGGGCCTCTCTCGCTCCTTGTCTCTCTTCTCTTCTCGACGGGGATAGTAGTCCCAGGGTTTGGGGTTGTCCACCATCGGGGGCCAAGGAGGCGGAACACCTCCAGGTAGGGGTGGAGGGTAAGCACCTGTACACCAACAGAATAAAGGAGTTTGAATGCCTCTCTAGAGTCCCATCTCATAGGGGTGTAGCTTTTCTTGTGCTTCTGATGTAAAAGAACCAGGCGGCGCTACCTTGAGGAAACGGGTACGGAGGGACTGAGCGGCCATCGTAGCCTCCAGCGTGGCTGCTAGGAAAACAGAAAACGCCACGTTAAGAGACACGATCAGAGCCTGCTGGAGGTCCAGCAGCAACAGAACGGCACTCATATCACAACCTCTAGAGCAGGGGTGTCAAACTCAAACTCACACAGGGCCGAAATGAAACTCTGGGACGGAGTCGAGGGCCAAACTTAATATTTTTTGAAAAAGTGACGGCAAATTTGCACATTTTCTTTATCAACATATATGCAATTTTGAACCTTTAAATTTGGAAACAAACATATTTCTGCATTAACACTGAATGTGGAATAACCAAATTACACACGAGCAAGTCAGTTTTAAATAAAAGGCATCAGTGGTATTCATTACTTGTGGTATATTCAGCATTTTTAAATTCTATTCAGGATTTATGTTTTCTTGATTAGTCATTTTTCTTATTTTTTATTCTCCTTTTTTTCTCCTGTAATAAGTGTCATCGCTTCTGTGACGTCTAGCTTTCCCCACTGAGGAACAATAAAGGGATTTTCTATTCTATTCATCTATCTGCAGCCTTTCCACTTCCTGTTTACTGTAGGTTAAATCTTTTCTCACGGGCCAACAACAAAATAACGATATCATTTTATCTTAAATGAAAATGCAACATCTCACCTGTTAACTTTCATGTTTTGGAGCAGAAAAAGAGCATAAAACCAACATATTTAAAGCTCAGTTTGCTCCACTGGTTTACTGTGATGCTCACCTGTTCCAGCCAGATACCTGCATCATGGGGCTGATCTGAGCTGAGGAGGAGACTCCTGTTGTTTTGTTCATCTTCATCATAATAATGACAACATTAGATGACAACAGGTGCTCATATAGGTTTGTGCTGATGAACATGTCTGAGCAGCTTGACCACGTTGTTGTGTGTCGGGGAGGAAACACGACAGCAACCACAGAGTCATGCTGGTTTGAGCGTGTCGCTGCTCGCTGGAGTTATATCAGCTCTGTCTGGACGTTAGTTTGAAAACTTTCTCTTTCAGTCGTGAACACGTTACTGAGCGGCTAGAATCTCCGTTTCTGGGCTTCAACGTCAGAAAACAGCTGAGTGAACTCGGCGCTGAGTGAGGGGAGTGTAGTTTGTCCGAGACAGTGGAGCTGCAGACACCGGCAGCAGACGCTGGAAAAAACACAAAGGAGGGGGCGCGTCGGCTCCGCGCTGACGCCGCAAAGCATCATGGGAGTTGAAGTCTTTGCGGTAAAATCAGCCAGCGGGCCAGTTTTAATATATTTTTGATATTTATCTCGCGGGCCACATAAAAATGCTCCGCGGGCCTTGTGTCTGACATATGTGCTCTGGAGGGTTTAACCGTCAAAAGGTTAAGAGAAAATCACAGTTGAAGGTGTGGAACCCTGAAAAACCATTTTTAAAATTATTATTTCTGATTATAATCAGAGTTTGTCATGCAGGCTGAACATAAAAATAGTCTCCTACACCTATCTCCTGCATCAGCTCCTGGTAGAAAATACACGGTGAAACTCTAGGAATAGAAAATCCACACAGATCTACGTCACACTGTCACTTAACATTCATGGACTCACCCATCTGGACTCACGACCTACTAGTCACTCATTCCTCCTAGAGACCACAGCAAATGCACTGATTAAACGAGTGGCCACATGTTTAAAGCTTTCCTTTACTGATGCAATTAGAGGCCAACCATTCTTTAACAGAATACACGTTTTACACCAGTTTCGTGTCAAGAGTTTTATATGAAACTAATCTTGTGTTGAAAAATGAAGACTTTCTGGGAGCTTCATTAAAATCCATCCTGCACTTCATCAGAGTGTTGCTAACAAACACACGAGCTAAAACATCCCTGACCACCGGGGGGGCGTAAAGTCAAACCAGCAGATCCTTATGAAACCTTCACATCTCCCCTTAACCCAGAAATCAGCACACATGAACATGAACCACACACACACACACACACACACACACACACACACTCACACACACACACACAGAGGCTATCCCGCTGAACGCAAATACGCCTTGGATCTTGGTCCAGATCAGTCAAGAGAGCTGCCCCTGCGTTCATTGTCCCTATATTAGTGCACGTGACCCACCCCACGTGCACTAATGTACAGCTATACCCCACACGTGACCCTGACCTTTGAACCTCACCTAACAGCTATTTTGATAAAATCTGATTATTTAGTTTTTATCTTTAATAAAAAAACTTTTTACTCCCCGCATTTAAAAAACCTAACAAGTTGTTTCACTAGTACTGTGACAGTCCTGACCCTAACAGGGATGCTGTGAGTATTTTAAGACGCGGTAAGATGAATAACTACCATCTTACCTGCTGGAGTTACCACACTGAATGGCCTCTGTTTAGAGAAATAGCTTTTGAATAACTCGGAACTGAAGAGCTAACAGCTAGTCTGAATCAGCCAGGATCAACCTGCTTTCCTAAAGCAGCTTAGCAGCATTTCATCATTTTATAAACTTTTACACCACAGTTTATTTTACATTGCAAGGTTATTTACATGCAATTTAAGGATTATTTACAAACATAAACATCACCAGCGGCAACTAAAGATAGCGCTTCCTGTTTATCCAGGAGCCAAATCTAGCAATAATTTAATATTTCTGCTGAAACAACCACGTGATGCGGACGTGTCGACAGCTGAATGATGTCAGTGATGTTTATGAAACATCAAAGAAATCGTTGTCAGACTTCGCAGACGCCATTTAACTCCAGGGCGCTACACAGCTACAGGTTTTCATTGTTATTCCCAATATTTTGTTGAAACAAATGGTCCCAACAGAAGAGTTTACGGAGTACAGATGTGTACAGGTGTTCTACCTGTCCATAGAGGGGATTATAGGAGGAGGACCACTCGTTGGAGGAGGAGGAAACCCAGGAGGAGGAACAGTAATGGGCAACCCTGTGAGGAGGAATGAGGAAGAGTAAAGAAACTAAATGTAAAACTGATTTATTTACATAAAGAATAAAAAAAAGAACTCACTGGGTGGAGGTATGAGAGGAGGAGCCGTGCTGACAGGTGGAGGTGGGAGAAATGGAGGAGGGGGGATGTTTGGAGGAAGTGGTCCAGGGGGGAAGAAGGTGGGTATCTTAGCAGCAGCTGGTTCCGCCTCAGAGGTCGAGTGTTCAGAAATCACCTGAAGAACAACAGAATAACAGGTGAGTGCTGCAGCGGCAGCCTTTCAGAAGAACCAATCCTCCATTCTTCTACCTGGATATTGTTGCCTTCCAGATTGTGTCGGCGCCGCCCTTCCACCCTGCTGATGGTGGCGAGCTGTCCTCCGATCACATCTATGGTGCCACTCGTTTTCCTAAGGGGAGAATTTTCAAAACAGACTTAATACAGACAAAACACTTAGAAGAACTGGATGATGTATAGAAATGTATGTTTTATAACATCTTTTTGAAATAAAATCATTTCTCCTGTTAAAAAAAAATCTCTGGTAAGAACACTGCTGTTACATCAGCCTACTAAAAGCTACCAGCAGGACCAGAACGGGCGCTGTTAGTCATTCAGTTACAAAGCTCTGCTTGAGGAGCATCATTATAGGATTAGATGCTTTGTTTCATCTTGTTCAGTGATCTCTCTTCACAGGAACACACTACTGCTGACGCCACCTTACCTGTGCGGTGCAGAGAGAACGGGAGTAACAAGGAGATGTGAGGAAAAAGTCGCGTCTTCATCAAAAGCAAAATAAACCAAAGGAGTTCACCACAATCTCGTTTCTGATTTACACGTTCCCCAGCTGACAGATACGGTCTTCATGAGATTAGTGGGTAGACACGGAGCTGATGGATCCACGAGCCTAACCGCTCAACCCTTTATGAAGGGGAGGGGTAATTTTACACTAATTATTCTGTGAAGTTAGTTTTAATCAGTTTCTTCTGCATTCGCAGCTAGGGATGGTACCTTTGACATTTGAATCGATTCGGTACTAATTCCCGGTACCTAGGAATCGATATCGGTACTTAACGGTACCAATTTTCGATACTTTTGAGTGTTTATTATTTTAATTCTCTTTTATAATTAAATATATATTTTTCTCAATATACAACCATATTTGATAAATATCACGATAAATAACATACAACTGTTTGTATTTTAACATCGTCCTTGTAGTTTTATAAGCTGATAATTAAACTGAAGCAAACATCTTTACTGTGAACTAAATTTACTGTGTATCTTCATTCCTTTTGCCGTCTTTTTTCATTTGATTTTTCCTACTGGGAAGTTAGAATTTCCCAGGAGAAAGCGAACGCACCATTAGCTGATAACATTGGTAGCAATGGAAGCTAACATATCAAGCTAACGTTATCTTTAACAGTTTATTTAGCTGCTGGAGCAGATTAAAACGATGATGCCTCACACTTAGATCGTTGTCGCTGGTTTCATCTTCACCCAATCACCCGTCGCATTTAGTAAAGTGAAGCCAAACTTTAGAGCGCGTTCATGTTCTTCTAGTCGGGAATTCGGAGTTCCGAGGAGAAAGCGAACGCACCATTAGTGAAACGGAAGCTAACACATCAAAGCTAATTATATTTACCTACCGGAGCAGATTAAGATGAGGATGTCTCACTTAGATCGTTGTCGCTGGTTTCGTCATCACCCAGTTACCCATCACATTTAGTGAAGTGGACCCAAGCGTTAGCGTGCGTTCTTTCTACCATGCTGCTCTGTTTACAACTGGCTCGCAGCGAGCGACAACATAACGCTCTTGCGCATGCGCAGCTGTCTAGGCAAGTTCTCGTTATGAAGGACGGGTACCGAAACGAGGCACCGTTTCAAATGACGTGAATCGGTGCTCGGTCGGTACTATGGAATTCGGTCGGTACCTTAAAAAGTACCGAATTCTGTACCCATCCCCAGGAGCTCATCTACCCTCAGTCCTTTTACTGAAATGGCTCAAGTATTTCCACAGGGACACAACTGTTGTCCTCAGGTAGGCCAACCAGGATGGGAGTAAAAGAGCTGCGGCGCGATCTGCCCGTGTGCGTTTTACTCAGGATACGGAACGAGATGAGCAGAAGCTGGAGTCACCTGGTGAACTGGTTGATGGCAGACTTGTGCAGGCTGACGGGAGAGGTGAAGTCTGTCTTGGCAGCGTGAACGGACAAGCTGGACACGTCCTTTTCATTCCCCGTCCTGCCCTGCTGAACCTAAGGAAACAGACACAATGATTGTTTTATAGCAGGTAGCGAGGGAGAAAACGTTTTAACACGAGTTCTTTCTAACTGTACAGGTGTTGTGAGAAGATACTAGATGGTTTCATACAGTGATCTTGCTCATCACTGATCCAACCGTAGAGACCTCCAGGCCCATTCTCAGCCTCTTCTGCTTCTCACAGTACGCCTTCCAGGTGTCTTCATTGAACCCGTAATTGAAATAGTCAGAAAGATCCGCTCCTACACACAGAAACACACACTCGCTATGAAACACACACTCACAGACTACAGTTGGAGCCCGGAAACATTTTATTTAGCGAATCAGCTTCAAGAACTTCTGAGAACATGTTGCTTGTCTCAAAGGATTTTGTCTAAAAAACAGACACCAACACACAGCAGACCTGGCTTCCTCCAGGGTTTCTCCTCAAAGGACTCCATGTCTACTTCCAGCACAGGAACACCGTTGATGTTTCCAGGAGCATCCAGATCCACTCCCTTTAGCTTTGTGGTCACTGGAAATGAAAACACATTACTAGTTACGTTCGCAAAAGTAAAAGTGCAACTGAGATTTACTTCATGTAAGGTTAAACCGTCAAATGTGAACACTGATGCAACAAACAGGAAGTGACACCTTGTCCGTAAGGTCTGGAGCTGGTCGACTTTATGTTGAGGTTGACTGGAGGCGCTCCATACGTCCTGGGAAAAAAAACGAGTCGACAGTGATGTAGAAAAACTGTTTTCTCACGCTGACTTCATCCATTAAAACTGATTGATCAAGTTTTTTGTTTTAAATTAGATCTTCTTTCCCTTTCTTGCTTCACATTTGGCTTTTTTGTTCATGTCGAAATAAAGAGGCAGAAAAAAATGACAAAAGTGCTGAAATGGGAGTCGTTTTTAAAACACGATTAAAGCCTACGGGTATTGTGGTGCTCCAGTTTTTATGTCACCGATGGTCACACGGACATCGTCGTCGTCGTCATCGCTGTCGCTGTCACTGTCCACATCCTCACCGGCAGCTTCCCCTGTGGCCTGAGAGTTCAGACAAAACAAGCAAATGAGATAAAAGATCATCATCGATCAGAAAACAAACACAAAAAGGACAAAAATATAAGAAATGCAAAGATTACCTACCTCAGAGGCCACGCCGTTTCCTGTAGCCTCTGCAACAGCCTCTTCTGTTGTTATGTCAGTGGGTAAGCTGTTGGTTAAATGTACAAACACTTTGTTGTTCAATCAGAATTCATACTGAAACCGCCCTCGTCGTGCTGTCATAGATGCTCAGTACACACAACAACCTATTGAGTCAGACATCTTTAGTTGTGGCAAATCAATCCATCAATCTTTATTTGTATAGCAGCTTCCACTGCCTTTGCAGGAGCCCAAGCTGCTGACATTAAATACAGTAAAAACACAGATAGCAATAAAAACGAGGTAAAAACAACATACAGACATGAACGCATCATACAAAATGTAAACAAGAAGCATAAAAGCATACAACCAGGTCATATAAAAGCCAAATGATAAAAATGAGTCATCAAACGACTCTTAAAAACCTGCAGCAAAGGTGATCGTTTTATATCAAATGGAAGCTCATTCCAGAGAGAAGGAGCCAAGACTGAGAAAGTCCGATCCTAGGGTTGGGCATCGAGCATCGATTGGAACCGGGATCAACTGTTAAGTTTTTCCCGGAATCGTTCAAAGTTTTTATTTCGATTCCTAGAATGCCAACCAGAAGAATCCGCGACCGACCTCCGTGAAAAATAAACGTGATCTGCAAATTGTGATTAACACTTTTCAGAGCTGATCACAGCAGCTGTCTGTGTGCAGCACCGAGCCCCCCCGGATATAAACAAACACGTCTACCGAACTTTTACTCCGTAACGTAAAGTTTAACTCCTGCAGCGTAGAGGAAACGTGTAAAATACGTCAACACGGTGGATTTAATAGCTTTAAAGAACAAACTCTGCAGAAATAACACACACGGAGTGTCAGCCGCTCACCAACACTCTGTGTGTGTGTGTGTGTGTGTGTGTGTGTGTGTGTGTGTGTGTGTGTGTGTGTGTGTGTGTGTGTGTGTGAGCGTGAGCATCAGAAGGCTGAACAATAACCTGTAGAATAATTAAAGTCATCATGCTAGAGCAGCTTCTCCGTGGTGGACCACACCAGCTTCTGCCACAATAAATAATTATAATAATAATAATAATAATAATAATAAATCACACACAAAGTTGTGAAATTTCCTTTCTGAACTATTTCTGTTGAGTTTTAATGTTTAAATCTGTTAGATTGTTACTGACAGCAGCTACATTTAAGTTTCACTTCCTGTTCTGACTGAATGCTGCTGCAGCATGGAGGTGTGGTTCTCAGTCATCCTGGACATGATCATCCTGAGAGCTTCAGCTGAAGACAGCTGGACGTTTCTGGATATGTTGGAGACATTTAGCCTCTCATCCTAGAGGCTTCTTCCAGACTTTGGTTGTGGTCAGAAACAAACACACTGGTTGTGCTGCAAGTCTTTTTCTTTTGTTCTCCAAAACATGTTTTTGTCTAAATGAAGGTGATGTTGTTGTTCATAGAATTAAAAATCATGTTGAGGTTAAGATAATTTCATCAAGTAGGACCTGTGGTTAGCTGGCTCATGTAAAACATGTCATGTCTTGAAAGAATCGGAGTCAACAGGAACCGGAATCAAAACGAGGAATTGAAATTGGAATCGTTCAAAATCAAACGATGCCCAACCCTACCGATCACCTCTAGACCTGTACCTAGTTTGTGGGACAGTCAGTAGCTCCAGCTCAGCCGAACGTAGAGGCTGTGATGGGGTACGTCTTTTTTATTAATGCTGCCAAGTAAGGTGGAGCACCACCATAAAGAGACTGAAGACATAGCACATAACTTTAAACTTAGCCCGAAAACCTACAGGGAGCCAATGTAATAAGACCAGCACAGGAGTGATGTGTGCCGACCTCCTTGTCCCTGTCAGAAATCTGGCCACAAAGTTCTGAACCAACTGTAGACGACTCAGTGCTGCCTGGCTTAGCCCAAATCCACCAACCAGCACCTCTCCGCTTGTATTTATGCCCGGATTTTTGTTTTATCCTCGTTTAAAACTATTGTGTGAGTTTTAAGCAAGTCTAATGTTTTACGGATCATTGTTACAAACAGATTAAAGGTGGTGGGAGTGGTTGTTACCTGGTAGCAGCGATCAGTTTGGCTTCTTCCTCCTCTTCTTTGCTTTCTGATTCATCTAAAACATAAACATGAAACTTTTAACCCTTTAATAATAAGCACTTCGTGTAAAGTTTTACCCGTTGAGTCATTGGGATTTTACTTCATTTAATCACAGTGAAAATAGTTAACTAAATAGATGACTGTCTTGTGTTATGCGTCTTTAACTTTGTTCCAAAGCATGCCGCTGTTGCTGAAGGCCGACACACGAGCGGCGCTAGTTAGCTTATCGGCTAATGCTCCCATCTCCTCATTACTCGTAGATAAATCGTCATAGACAGAGCATCAAACATATTTATATCTGTATGTGTCGGCGTGGAGATGCGGTGTTGGATTGTTATTTTACCTCCATAGAGCCATTCTTCCTCTTCATCACCTGCGCTGGCATCTGTGGTGGTCGTTTTGTCCGCTTCCTCCGCAGACATCTTCAGCCAAAACCACTCGCTGCTCCAACAGCTAACAGCAGCAACAATGTGTAAAATTTCAATAATATAAGCACAATCTACCCCTTACAGGGAAGAACTTTGATAAATTATGTATCTATTACTTCATAGAATCACATTCAACCCCTTTGCAAGTGTGTATGAACCCGGAAGTGATTGAGGATTCTTGAATCCCGCTAAGGTCGGAGTATGGAGTGGAACCGAGCGCGCCCCCTGTTGGACAAAAGAGGCACCGTTTACAGTACTCCCAGGTACAAGTTGGTCGATTATTATGCTGTATAAAATTAAATTAAATACATTTAAATGCAAATTTACGTAGCTTAAAAAGTGCAAATTTTCATCTGAATCAGAATCAAAATAAGAATAGTGTTTTATTGCCAGAGGCCCTAATAGGGTTTGATGTGTAGAATAATTTATAGCCTATAAGAGATAAATAAATTGATATTAAGGCAGATTTAAACTCTCAAAGGCACAATGCGTCATGTAATCACTTTTTACTATGTAAAAACACGCCAATTAATTATGAGCAACAAATTAAAAAAATAACTTGATAAAACTGGAACAAAATTTATTTCCATGTATCTACATTTTACATTTAATTTCATAACAAAACAGATATTTTATGTTTTCTCTTAACGTAGTACGGTGACGTTCAGTGTTACACCACTTTACCACTACAGGAGGACGAGAGTTTTCTTTTTACTTACACACATTAAATATACTTAATTTGATCTGAGTGCTCCAGCCGCCTTTTTCTACTTCTCAGTTGTCAGTGCCAGCTGTTGAGCGCTGGCTGTCATTTGAATGATGTGCAGTGTGCCTATTTATTTCTTTTATGAAATATGTTTTACAAATAAAACTTGATACTGTAACTATCTAGAACAAAAGTTAAAGCTTCTTAAGGGAAAAATTTTCCTTCAATATTGAGAAAAAAATCCTAATGAAATTTTGATTAAATGTTGCGTAAGACCACTTTTTGTCAATATTCTTTTGAGAATTGTGTTCATTCATTAAACGGCACTCACAAATGTGTCTAAAAACTAAAAAATTGTTAATTGTTTAGAACCATACGTAAAACTTGCTCAGTGAAAATTCATGCCCATAATTAGAAATAAATCTTGGTGAACTTTTGACAAGAAGTTGATTGTAATATCGACTGAACAGATTTCTTTTAGTTAATTGCCGTCATCCATCAGATAACACTTACTATAAGCCAGAATTATGTTTTTAAAACAAAAAATTACTCATTTAGAGCCAAAGTTAATAACTATTACGAGTGGTAAAAATAGTGTACATTTAACCCAAATACTGGAAAAAATATTTATGCATTTTTGTAATGTCATTTCATCACCACAAGAGGCTGACATTATTCTTTTTTGAGCCCTTACCACAAACCAGAATTATGTTGTAAAAATTAAACAATGTTAATTGTTTGGAGTAAAAGCTAAAACTTACCAAGTGACATTTTTACCGCAGTTATTCAAAAAAATATGTATAAATTTTTGGTGAAACCTTGAGGGTAATACATTTAACCCAAATATTATGAAAGAAACAATAACACATTGAAATTTTTTTTAAATTTGTGTGTAATACCACTAAATATTCATCAGAAGTCAACAGTTTTAAAGTAGTGTTGCAATAATAATGCATGAGAACAACAAAGTACGGTAGCACTTTCTGTTGTGACCTGGTGACCCACAGGTCACATCATGGGATTACATTATTTCTTTATTAAATCAGTATATATGTTTTTAAACAGAAGTTGTTGTAATTTCGTACAATTATAATTACAGCCTAATTATAATACCTGTAAATGTTATTAGTTAATTGGTTCATAAATCAAAGTTAACGGTTCACTTGAATTCCCCAAAACTGTCAATGGAATTAAGCTAGCAGCTTAGATGAGTGTGCTATAGTGAACTACACCAAATTCTTGCCTTGCAGGGGGAGGCGACAAGATGGCGGAGTGAGCAGTTGGTCCATAGCAGGATGCAAAGGGAAAACAGTTTTTTTCAAGTCCAAACGTTGCTTAAAGGTAAAAAAAAAAAAAAAAAAAAAAAGCCATAACATATTGGAAGAGACTTTCATTCGTTTTTTTTACAAACTGAGGAACTTTTTGAAGAGCTAATTACGGTGTGAGAGAGTGAAAGATGGAACAACGTGGCGAAGCTAGCATCGTTGATCATAATTATGGCATTGCTGTGATGGATGATATGAGTGAAAACGAACCCAAAAGTGTGGAGCAAGCTGATAAAAATCTCGAGGACAGTCAAACTGATATGAACAGTCCACAACCCAAAAAGCTGAGGAAGAGAAGTGTGAAGGCAAGAGAGGAGAGTACAAATAATCTTGTGCAAATGATGGAGATCCCGATCAAAAAATTTGACGGGCTGGACGGGAAGTTGGAGAACATTGAAGTGAGAATGAACAATGTTCAAGAAGCTCTAAAAAAGTTGGATGCTCTAGAAATCAAACTACAAAACATTGAAAAAAGCACAGAAGACACGAAGAAAGAAACAAATGTAAACAAAGAAAACATCACTAAACTACAAAAACAAGTTGAGTTTCTGGGTGTCGAAAATAAAGCTCTGAAAGAGAAGGTACTGGAAGCTGAGAGGTACAAGAGGAGATGGAACCTCAGGCTTCTTGGATTAGCTGAAAAAGAGGAAGAGAAAATCAGAGAGGAAGTTATTGGCATACTCATAAGAGTGGTCCCCGTGTCTGTCGACGAGCTCTGCAGGAATGTGGACACCGTTCACCGTTTGGGAAAAAAAGATGCAATGAATACCAGGCCAAGGCCCATTATCATTCAGTTTGTGTCACGTACGATGAAGGAAGAAGTGTGGAAGATGTCGAAAGAGGCCAGAGTATGCAAGGAGAAGATCATCTTTAAAATGGACTTCTCCAAAGAGGATCGGGAGGTGAGGGAGAAGCTGTGGCCCCAGGTGGAGGAAGCCAGACGACGTGGAAAGAAGGCCTTCTTGAAGGACGGATACGCAATCATCGATGGGAGGAAGGTCTATATTTGTTAGAAATATGATACATTTCAATATTCAGGAAAGGCCCAACACACTTTTTTTCTAATATACTGTTCCTCTGTTAAGATGGGCTGCTATTTTGAGAATGAGATCTCACCAGACCAAACAGCCCAATGTTTTTTATCTTCTGATTGTTAAAGGTGGAGGTTTTGGATGAGCTATAATCTAGTTGGACAATATTGCTCATTCCTGCTGTTTGGATAAATCCAGAGCGGATAAACTAGGTAACATTCCTAGCCATTTGTTTTGTTTGGTATGTCAGTTTTGTTTACTTCTTTGAATGTTAAAGGGTTGAAAAACATCATAAAGCGCAAGGCACTTTTTTTTATTTTGCAAAGAGCTTAAGGCCAACTTAATTTTGTTACAGGAAACACATTCAGGCATAGAGGAGGACATTTTTTGGAGACAACAGTGGGGGGGGGGGGGGGGTAATATTTTGTATAGCCATGGTACCAGTTATTCAGCAGGGGTTATGATACTATTTAGTATTTAACAAATTTACAGGGAAAGTAATTAATCATAGAGGAGACAAAGACGGTCACTGGTTAATAGCAGCTATAGAAATATATGATCAGAAATTTATTATACTTTCTATTTATGGCTATAATAACAAAACTAAAAACAGAGAGATGTTAGAAAATTTGGGCAGAATGATAACAGATTGGCAAAATGTTCATATGACTGATAAAGTGGCTGTGGGAGGAGATTTTAATATCGCACCAAACTCTTGGTTAGATAGGTTACCACCTAGGTCAGTAAGCTGAAAACAATGATATCTTACAAAATTTCTGTTCTATCATTAATACTTTTGATTACTGGCGATTAAATAATCCTACAAAATTAGAATACACATGGATCAGTGCTTCTAATGGAAACCAACGGTCAAGAATAGATTATTGGCTAATCTCACACTCTATAGGTAGCAATGTAAAGAAATGTGAGATTATTACTTCTCCGCTTACTGATCACTGTTTAATAAGCTTAACTTTAATAATAATAAAACAAACATGCTCTTCAGACAGTTTATGGAAACTAAATAATAGCCTTTTATCAAATGAAGGGTTTTGCAAACAAATAAAAGCCCTTTGTCAAAACGTAAAAAGGATGGATATGTCAGATAAAGGAAAATGGGAATGGTTTAAATTTGAAACAAAAAGGTTAGCAATTGAAATGGGGAAAATTCTGACAAAAGAGAGAAAATTAAAGCAGAAAGAACTGCTAAAAAGAATCAGCCTACTCTGTGATCAAATTAATAACACGGAGGATGAACTAACAGAGCTAAATTTGCTCCAAAAACAGCTTGACGAAATTTATATAGAAAAAGCCAATGGAGCCTTTGTAAGATTCAGAGCTAAATGGATTGAAGAAGGTGAAAAAACTCAACATATTTTTATGGTTTAGAAAAGTCTAGACAATCCAAAAAGAAAATATGCAAATTAAGAAAACATGACACTGTAATAGTAGACCAAAATCAAATAAAGGAGGAAGTTCAACGTTTTTACTCAGACCTGTAGTTCTAATTTATGTGAGGAGGAATGTAAATCCTTCTTCACTCAGATAAAGAACAACATTAAATCTATTGGAGAGGAAGACAGAAAAAATCTGGAGGATGATTTGAATATTAAAGAAATAGAATATTCCCTGAAAAAAATGAAAAAATGGGAAATTGCCCGGTATTGATGGATTGACCTCGGAATTTCTTAAATTTTTTTGGGAAGATGTTCAGGAATTGTTGTTAAGTACATTTAATGAGTGTATAAATGAAGGATGTCTTACCCCAACAATGAAAACTGGAATAATAACCCTTCTTCCCAAACCAAAAAAAGATACAACAGACTTAGACAACTGGAGGCCAATTACTCTGTTGTGCAATGATTATAAATTGTTAGCGCTATTATATGCAGAAAGACTGGAAATGGTAATTGATAAAATAGTAGATGAAAATCAATCTGCGTTTATAAAAGGAAGAAGCATACATAATAATGTGAGATTAGTACTGGATATGCTGGATTATAGGTCTATTTTGGAAACGGACAGCCTCATTTTATTTATAGACTATTTCAAAGCTTTTGATTCTACAGAACATAATTTTTTATTTTCCACCCTAGAATATTTTGGTTTTGG